CCCGGGGCACACACCCGGGGCACACACCCGGGGCACACACCCGGGGCCCGTCCCAGCCCGTCCCCGCGGCGGAGGGGCCGCCACCCCCGCCCGGCTGCGGGGGGACCGCGCCCGGCCCCGGCCCGCAGACAATAGCGGCGGGGAGCAGCCGAGCGAGAAAACACACCAAATAGATGGAAAACTAATACGAGCCGCAAAATGAAAGGGAATAAAGCCACGCGGAGACAAGGGGCCGCCCGGAGCGGCTCCACGCGAAGTTGCGGCGGAGAAAACCCCCCGAGGAAGAGGAGGAGGAGGAAGGGCGGGGGAAGCGTGCGAGGGCGCGGGAAGGGGAGGGGGGGCTCCCGCACACCCCCGTCCCCGGGGAGCGCCCACCCCCTCCGCCCCCCCCCCACCCCCAAGCCGGGGGCCTCCCCAAACTTTCCCCCACCCCTTCGCCCAACTCCAGCGGGGCAAACTCACCGCGGGGCCCGGCGGGCGGCTTCGCCCCTGGCAGCGGGGCCGGGTGGGAAGGGAGAGGGACGGGGACGGGGAGGGGGCGGAGGAGGCGGCCGGGCCGGTGCTCTCCGCCCGGGGAGGCGGGCAGGAAGGAGGGGAGGAGGGCCGGGGGCTGCCGCCCTCGCAACCTGAGCCGGCGCCGCGCCCGCCCCGCGCCCGCCCCGGTCCAGCCCCGTTCCAGCCCCGCTCCAGCCCCGCGCCCGCCCCGCATGCGCCGCCCGAGCGGGGCCGTGCGGGGCCGGGGGAGCTGCGGGCGGAGCGGGCAGGGCCGGCCCTTGCTCGGGGATGAGCTCCAGCTGCGCCTGCCCTGCCTCCCCAGGAGGGCTGGGGAACCCCCGGGGCCTCCCTCCCGGGGGCTTCGCCCTCCAGTGCACCCCTTTCCCGGTTATTCGGCCGTTATGGGAGATGGAGCTGTTGGGTGTAACGTTGTGCTGCGGGTGTGAAAGGACATGGGCAGCTTAGGCTGCGGGTTTGTTTTTATCTGAGGGCGATCTGAGGGCTGCTCCGTGCCTGGAAAAGGGCAAGACCAGGTTAGATGGGGCTCTGAGCAGCCCAGTCTAGTGGAAGATGTCCCTGCCCATGGCAAGGGTGTTGGAACTGGATGATCTCTAAGGTCCCTTCCAACCCAAAACAGTCTATGATTCTATGATCCTGCCTTCTCACGTGCTGAGTTCCAGGAGTAAGGGCCTGTCCTGGCTGGGGATGGGTTCCTGGCATCCCTTTCTTCAGCAGTTAAAACCCCTTCCTAGTGTCCAGAGCCCAAGCTGTCCAGCTGTGAACGGGATCTGCTGCATGTCTGTACCTGTCACAAACCCAGCAGCTCCTCTTGAGCCTCACCAACCCAGCCCACCGACTTATCTGTTCCTCACCCTCTTTCCCAGTTCCCCTGTGGTTGTGTGCAGCGTGTACATTTGATGGAGAAACATCTCCTATACCGTTCCCACGCCTTGCCCTGGAAAAACAGTGGAAATGGCAACCCAGCATTAGCAAATGAGCTCATGTGGTCTGTGGTCCTCCTGTGGCTGGGCTGGAGGAGGCCCCGCGGAATGAAATTGATGTGTTGTGGTGGTCACTTTCCTTCAGTTTCAGTTTTTGTTGGAAGCTCTTTGGAAACGTGTGCATGTGGTGGCCCAACATTTCCACTTGGCTTCACCTACTGCACACACGTGTATCCCGCTAGCCCTGGCAGTGGCCACGTGATCATATCCACAAAGGCAGTGCCAGCACTGAGTTTAACATGCATGTCCTGCCCCACCTCATGACAACCACCCCAAAAGTACTTCACACAATACTTTCCAAAGAGACCTTGCTGCTGGCCAGAGCATTGGGCAAAGGCTGCAGGTAATTCCCGTACACCATATTCTCTCTAGGTAGAACAGAAATACAGTTTACAGTGCAGAAGATTATCTGCTGAAAACCCTGTGTGTGAACTTGGCATTAGCTTCCTAAATATGCACTGTTGATTCAGTTTAAAGCAACTGAAATAATAAAAATGGTTTCAACACTTGTGCACTGTGGTCATTTTGGAGACTGGAATGTGCCGGCACTTTACAACCAGATGTAAAGCAGTAGTTTTTCTTACATGGCTCCAACAGGATAAGGCACATGAGAGCAGGGACCCTGGAAAAACATTTTCATTTGCCTTCCTGTCACCTCTACAAAAGGGGCTTATGAGGCAGAACACTTGGAAGTTCCCAGAACCAAGAAGAGAGGTCAGACACAGCAATGGCTCAGCTAAGAGCACCATCTAGTGAAAAGCCACTTCTTGATGAGACTCAATCCCCTGCAAAGCTCCAACCAAACAATGACTAACTCAGCCCAGCCCAGCCCAACCTACCTCATCCCATCTGAAGCAATCGTGAGCAAGGTAGTGTGGTAACAGATAACAGCTGTCTAAAATTTTCCATAACACACACACACCAAGATCTTTAGGTCTACCCTCTTGGTTGTCCATCAATGGAACATTTCCTTGCTTGTCAACTCCAGCCTGGCAAGTCCACCTCTGCCTTCTGCTGCCATGCCTGGAGCTGACACAGCCCCAGTCTTGCTGTAGGTACTCCCCTCAATCACATTGTAGGGGGTCAGAAGCCCCAAAGAGAGAGCTCAGCCTCCCAGATGAGTCTGGGTACCAGATGAGTACCAGCTGTGTACCTGCCCTTGGATATGGTCTCATATGTTCTGCTCTTGCAAATCGTTTGGAAATGCTTTTGGGGAGTCTTTTCAGCAGAAGGGTGTGAAGGTCATGTGCCAGCATGGCTTCCCAGGAGCATTTACCGTAATGATAATATTCTAAACCTAGAGGGAAGGAAATTAGCATGGAAAATACTGAGAAAAGACAATGTAGAAGCTTAGCACCAAAGCAGGAGGATCAGCTGATGGGCCCCATTTATCAGAAGTGTTATGATCCTTTCAGACAAAGAAGGTAAATGAAAATACGGGCAGAGAAGGTTTAATTTTTTTTGTATCAGAAATATTCCCTGGGGATATGTAGGCAGCTGGAGAAGCCCATTCTGGGAGGGAATATTTCTGATACAAAAAAATTAAACCTTCTCTGCCCGTATTTTGATCAGACACCAGGAGCTGGTGGCGACTTAGGAAGGGAATTAGCAAAGGTAGACAGGGTTGTAGGGTAGGTAGGCAGCTCCCCAGACTGCCAGGGGTCAGACAAAGGCTCAGTTTAGATTTGAGCCCAGGTCTCCCTTGCCTGTGGGAGGGCTCCTGGTGCCCCAAGACCAGAGGCCACCAAGTATTTGCCATGAAAAGGCTGTATCAGCCATTTGAGATGCCCAGCCCCTGCTCTCAGTAGCACTTAACACATCTTTTTACCTCTCTTTTCCCCAAGATTAGTCTGCACTATACTTTAAATTATCCGCCTCCAAATTCTCAATGTCAAAATATCCTGTCTGCACCCACATATTACCACAAACCAAAACAAGGAGGCAGTAGAAGGAAAATTTTTACAGCACTCTGTGGATGCCAACCTCCTGAGAAATCATTTGCCTTCAGATCATCTCTGACACTAGTTCCCCAGGGTTCCACCCTCTGCCATATGTCCAAATCTGCTTTTCAAACACTATAAGAAATAATAAAATATATCAGATGTTCTTTTATTGCCTCTTTCAGGTTTTAATTTGTCACAAACTTTGCTGCAGGGCTCCCTGATTCTTGTTACGGAAACTGGATTTAAGTGCGAGTTACACTCGTGAATGAGACTGGAATTTGGTCCTGCACAACATAATCTGAACATTTGTGTGTAGTGGCATGAATTAGCAATATGAGTGCATTGTTCTCAGTTGCTGGAAATGAGCTGTCCTTGCAACTGAATACAAAACAGAGTGCAGTGCAATGATGGAAGCAGCAATTATTAAAGATTTGTTTTCATCATATTCAAGCAGCTACAGAACTGAGACACTGAGCATTAGTGTGCCTGACAACAGTGTGTGGTGTTTTCTTTCTGTCCTTGCTTGTTGGAAGCCAGTGCCTGGTAGCTGAGATAACAGCAGCTACACCTGAGGAGGTTTTAATGTCATTTTCCTTCTTCAAACTCTACCAATGTCATCTCTAAAGTCCCGTGAGCGGTACAACCTTTGCTGCAAAAATATGTACTGTGGCTGAAAGCAGCTTTTAGGAGAAGTTAACCCATTCCCATGTACTATATATATATCACAGTTAAAATGTAAAAGTTGTTAGTGTGTCACAATCATCAGACACTGGAGTTCGCCCTTGGGAAAGGAGATAGCCTGGAATGGTGAACTGCAGTAAAACCCACCCAAAACACAAACATTTAATGACCTACAAAATTATATTAATGAATTCAAAGAAAGTTCCCTGGGTTCTTCTACCCCTCTGTGGAAAGTTTGTGGGGCTTTAGTGGGAGAAGAAGGGGTGCAGGCTTGCATCTAGCTGTCACCCACCGTGTACCCCAGCCGCTCATCACAGCTCTTTAGGATGATTTCTCAATTCTGGGAGGCAATGCTTATCAGCTGCTCATGCAGATGTCATTTTAGTTGCTCAATTGATGGGGCACATCTAGCACGTCCACCTCTGCAACTCACAGGGCCCCTCCATGTGCTGATAAGCTGTGCTAACACCAAGCTCTCAAAACTCCCCCTTACACATATCACTGGATAAATACTGATATAAATACTGGTTTTAATTCTGGACAAAAATTTCCTGTTATAATGTTCAAAGGACCTTAAAACAGGTAAGGGAACTTCTCTGCTGAGAGCCTCAGCAGAACAACACCCACATGAATTTCTGACAGGCACAAATCATCGTATTTCACTTCGTATTTGCTATAAATATTCTCCAGACCAAAGAAATCGTCTAGTGAAGTCCATGTGGTACCTGCACCTGCTGCCCTGCTGGGTCTGTATCTGCAGATTCCAAGCAGTTCACACAGAAACAAGAAACAAAAGCAATGAAAGAATGAGATGAGCTCCACAATTGCCTTTGCCATCCCATGGGGATAAGGCGTGTGCAGGTGTCTTGCACATGGGGTGACATTTCATCCCCTCCTGCCTGGGCTAAGAAATAATATCCAGATTGGATGGGACTTTGAGCAGCCTGGTCTAGTGGAAGGTGTCCCTGCCCATGGCACGGAGTTTGAACTAGATTATCTTTAAGGTCACTGTGGTGGTTTGAGCCACTTCCAACATAAACCATTCTATTATTCCACAGCCTCTTACTGCCTCTGCCAGACTTTTGAAGATCTGACAGTGTTGGCTTGCCCCAGCAGGGGCTTGAACTGTACCTCTGGCCTCCCCCTCTCTTCAGCCCTGTAGGATAGGTGCTAGGGAGAGCAGAAAGGGAGGGCTGAAAGGGGACTTGCAGGCTGCAAACACTATCATTAATCCTCCTGGGACAGTTTCCTCTTCCACTTCAGCTTTATACTTCATGCTTTGTCAAAGGACACTGTTTACAATCATCTGCTGTAGCCATCCTGTTCTTTTCAATAATCTTTTTAATTTAATATGATTCTATTTCTGTCTTCAGCAAGGGTTGTTGTCCAGGTACGTGCAAAGCAAGGGATAGGCAAATCTATGCCAAAAGGCTTTATTGAAGTATCAGAAAACATCCATCAAATCAATTTATGAAACTGAATTATGTGGGACCCCAGGAGTAAAAACTGACAA